GGTACCAGGACACGTAGGTATACTAGGAAATGAACTGGCAGATCAATCTGCAAGGCAGGCTTGCCGCAACTGGAATTGACTGTACAATAGTGAAAGCACCAGACTTGAAAATGAAAATTAGACAATGCATAACAGAAGCATGGCAAAGACAGTGGAACAATGAACTTACTCAGCTAAGAACAATAAAACCTGATGTAACAAAATGGACACCTAACGTCAAGATGAGTAGAGAAGAAGCCGTCCGGATACATAGACTGCGTTTGGGCCACACAGCATTGACACATTCCTACTTACTCTCTGGCCAAGGCCATCCAAATTGTCCGTCATGCGAGGCACGATTAACTGCAATGCATATTATGATAGAATGTCCAGCGTTAAGCAACCTTAGAAACAGTTTTGGTCTGTCAAGAGATTTCGCAGAAAATCTGAAAAAGCCTGATTTAATAAAAACACGATATCGTTTCTGAAATGCACGGGCTTTTACTGGAAACTCTAATTATACTCAACCAAAATTGAATCACACAACGACAGGCAGCTAATGACCCAGTAGTCGATGCTGCATAATCGCAAGAACTACTACTAAAAATAGTAAATAATAATTACATAATACTAATAAATAATAATAATAAATAATAATTACAATAATTATAATAATAATATACAATAATTATAATAATAATAATAATAATAATAATAATAAGATTATAATAATATAATAATAATAATAATAATAATAATAATAATTATTATTATAATAGTAATAATAACAATTACAACAATAATTATAGTAATAATAATGATTATACCCCGCAGGGGGTATCTACTTTTGAAGCTGGATCGTTGATCCACTTTCAAGGGAAGATACATGGGGAGCGTCGCCCCCACGGCCCCAGTCAGGGAGTTTCGGGATTTGGTAGTCTTGCTCATTCTACCAAACCCTGGACTTTACCCCCCTCTTTCCTATCCCTCATCCTTCTTTTCCCTTTTATCTTACCCCTTCCAGAACAGGAGACAACCTGCGAAATCCGGAACCTACGGTGTAAGGCGGACCGTGCCTAGGGGTGAATGGCTGCACGTAGCGAGTCTCGAACGGTGCCCTCCAGGTGCCTGGCAACACTGGTTGTACTTAGCCTTCCTGTAGTGTGGGAGCACTGCTGCAGGTGACCATTGTCTTCCCATTCTCGTGGGACAAATATGGATATGTCTTATAACAAACAAACGGAGGCGCCCGCCCTCCACAAAACGGGCACTGGCACTGGCAACGAGACGGTGGAATTAATGCCCCGGTTCCTGCTTGTTAAAAGGACAGGAGAAACGTCTTCTGAAGGTTTTGACAAAGTGAGTCCATTTGTGATTTCGAAAACGCTATACGGATTAGTTGGAGAAATCCGATCTGTAAAGAAGATAAAAGAAGGTCTACTTGTTCAAACGTCTAGTAATGCACAGACAAAAAGATTGTTAGCTGTAAAAAGATTTACTGATATGGATGTAATAGTTACCCCGCATATAAGTTTGAATAAGTCTAAAGGTGTGATCTACTGTAGAGATCTTATGAATGTACACTAGATGAAATTAAGGAAGAACTAAAAACAGCTGGAGTCATAGATGTGAGAAGATTGAAATCTAGAAAAAGTGGTGTTTTAACTGACACACCTTCGCACGTACTAACTTTTAATACTCCCACGCTTCCAAACAATATTTGTGTTGCGTACTATAACTTAGTATCAGACCGTATATACCACCACCAACCAGATGCTTCAAATGCCAAAAGATTGGCCACGTCGCTGACAGATGTGACAACGAACAATTATGCGTTTGTGGGAAACCTCCACATGAAGGAACGTCTTGTACGGACCCTAAGAAATGTGTTAATTGCAATGGACCACACTCAGCAGTATATAAGGGATGTCCAATATACAAGACAGAAGCAGCTATCCAGAGAGTCAAAGTTATTGAAAAAATATCATACACTGAAGCAAAGAAAAAAGTGAAAACCCAGACGCCAAACCTAACTTCTCCTATGCTGCAGCGGCAACATCAACACCTGCAACTTCAAAAATCTCACCAGAATATACAGCTTCGGAAGTAGAAGCATTGATCCCTTACATTATGAAATCTGTTAGAGAGTCACTCAGTAAGCTTCTTCCCCCTCAAAATGTTTCAAGATTCCGATAAGGTTGTCAGATACAAGGTATCGATCAGACTCCGTCTCAACAAATATCTCAACAATGTCCGAGCAACGCAAACGACAGAGAGACCAAATAGCTAGCACTTCTGAAGAGAAGGGTCACAGAACGATACAAGCAGCACTGGCAGAAAAAGGGGTCGGCCCAAGGGCAAATCAAAAAAGCAAACTGCTGAATAAGTCTATTTAACAATTGTCATACCTTCTACACTTATATCCTTACCCTTAACACCTTACAATGGAAACACCAGAAAATATTATCCAGTGGAATGTCAATGGACTCAAGTCAAAATACTCTGAACTAAAAACAATAATAACGAGGGTATGGCCCCTTTTGCCTTACCTTACAAGAGTCGCATCTTAGGCCATCAGAGAATTTCTCCTTTAGAGGGTACAAGACGTTTAGAAAAGATGCTGTATCTGATAGCAGAGCACATGGCGGTGTCATAACTGTCATCAGAAATTCAATACCCACATTAGATATAGACTCAACACCAGCTTGCAAGCAGTTGCGGTGACGATATACTACCCTGTTAGACTCACCATATGCAAACTTATACCTCCCAGACAGAAAACTGGTCTCAACAAGAACTTGAAGCGCTCGTTAGTCAGCTACCCACACCATTTATGTTAGTGGGGTGACTTTAACGCTCATAACTCAATGTGGGGTTGCAGAAACTACTTGCTCAAGGGGAGAGTAGTGGCAACTGTTATTGACAATTATGACCTAGTTCTCTTAAACACCGGAGCCAACACCTACATAAATTCGAGATCCATGAACTTTCAGCCATAGATCTTTCCATCTGTTCACCTACCATCGAAAACCTATTCCAGTGGAAGTGCTTGCAGGATATACATCATCCGACCATTTTCGGTTCAAATAGAATTCCCAGGTAAACCCAGGGTGTCTACAAGACCAAAGCGTTGGATAGCAGAAAAGGCTGACTGGGGAAATTTACAGAAATACAGCCCATTATCATCTTCCTACACATTTAACTGACAACATTGATGCTTCTGTATCTAAAATATCTGAAGGAATTCTGAAGTCGCACAACTGTCAGTCCCGCAGTCGTCAGGCTATTCTTGTACGAAGTCCGTGCCGTGGTGGAATGAAGAGGTAGCCAGGCAATAAGGGATAGAAAGCTGCCTTCAACAGATTTAAACGTGATCTCACTAACCAAAACCTGATAGAATTCAAGAAACTTCGTGCTAAGCTAAACAAGTCATACTAAAGGCAAGACGTAAATCGCTACAAAGTTACGTTTCATCTCTTGACCGCAACACTCCGATTTCAGACATTTGGAACAAATTGAAAGCTATATCAGGAAAGAAGCATCAATCCCCGACAGAAGCCCTATGTGTTGATGGAAACACTATTACTGATCCTCAACAAATAGCAGAAGCATTTGCCATGTATTATGAAAACGTAAGCTCTTCACACGCTTACCCTGTGGGGTTCCTTGAACAAAGGGAGACAGAATTCCTGGAACCATTCCGGACACAGTGCAAGAAGAACAACCCTACATCTACTAATTTCAATGCAAGAATTTGAACATGCGTTAAATAGTACCACAAATCTTCACCTGGCAGAGACAACATTCCTTACGAGTTTATCAAGAACCTCTCCTCTACACACAAAATACTCCTGCTGGAACTCTACAACAGAATCTGGCATTCCGGATATTATCCTGCGGCTTGGAAAGAGGCAGTAATCATTCCAATAGCTAAGCAGAGTAAG